TTTTATGCCCGAATAGTATTCCATTGTGTATATGTACCTCATTTAAAAAAAATTCATCCATCGATGGATACTTAGGTTGATTCTGTATCTTGGCCATTGTGAATAGTGCTGCAGTAAACGTGGGAGTGCAGATATCTCTTTGACATGCTGATTTTGTTTCTTTTGGATATAGAAGTTGAGTATCCCTAATCCAAAAATCTGAAATCCAGAATGCTCCAAAATCCAAAACTTTTTGAGCACTGACGTGATGCTTAGAGAATAATACTCATTGCACTATTTTGGATTTTGGGTTTTTGGATTAGGGATGCTCAGCTATAATGCAAATATTTCAAAATCGGGGAAAAAAAATCTGAAATCAGAAATGCTCCTGGTCCTAAGCATTTTGAGTGAGGGATACTCAATGTTTATACCCAGTAGTTGGATTATTGGATTATATGGTAGTTCTATTTTTAATTTGTTGAAAAACCTCCCTACTGTTGTCCTTAATGGCTGTACTAATTTACTTTCCTAGTGCCTTGGTCTGTTTTGTGTTGCTATAAAGGAATACCTGAGGCTGGATAATTTATAAAGAAAAGAGGTTTATTTGGCTCACACTTCTGCAGGCTGGTAGCGGCATCTGCATCTGATGAGGGTCTCAGGCTGCTTCCACTCATGGCAGAAGGTGAAGGGGAGCTGGTGTGTACAGAGAACATATGGTGAGAAAGGGAACAATGGGGTGGGGAGATGCCAGGCTCTTTTTCACAACCAGTACTAAGAGGAACTAATAGAGTGAGAAGTGATTCACTTCTGAGGGAGGGTATCAATCTGTTCATAAGGGATCTGCCCCTATAACCCAGACACCTCCCATTAGGCTCCATCTCTAACATTGGGGATCAGATTTCAATATGAGGTTTATAGGGATCAAACATACAAATTATAGCACCTACCAACATTGTATAAGAGTTTCCCTTTCTCTGCATCCTTGCCAACGTTTGTAATTTTTTGTCTTTTTAATAATAGCCATTCTAACTGGGTGATGTGATATCTCATTGTGGTTTTGATTTGCTTTTCCCTGGTGATTAGTGGTGATGAGCATATTTTTCATATACCCGTTGCCATTTGTATGTCTTTTTTTTTTTTTGAGATGGAATTTCGCTCTTGTTGCCCAGGCTGGAGTATAATGGCACGATCTTGGCTCACCGCAACCTCTGCCTCCTGGGTTCAAGCAATTCTCCTGCCTCAGCCTCCCCAGTAGCTGGGATTACAGGCATGTGCCACCATGCCTGGCTAATTTTGTATTTTTAGTAGAGATGCGGTTTCTCCATGTTGGTCAGGCAGGTCTCAAACTCCCGACCTCAGGTGATCCTCCTGCCTTAGCCTCCCAGAGTGCTGGGATTACAGGTGTGAGCCACTGCACCCGGCCTTGTATGTCTTCTTTTGAGGGGTGTCTATTTAGGTCTTTTGTTCATTTTTAAATTGGATTTTTTTTTTTCTGTTGAGTTCCTTATGTATCCTGGATGAGTCCCTTGTCAGATGCATAGTTTGCAAATATTTTCTCCTTTTCTTTGGATTGTCTGTTCACTTTGTTGTTTCCTTTGCTGTGCAGAAGCTTTTTAGTTTGATATAACCCTATTTGTCTATTTTTGCTTTTGTTCTCTGTGCTTTTGAGGTCTTGTCCAGCAAGTCCTTGCCCAGACCCATGTCCTGCAGCATTTCACCTAAGTGTTCTTCAAGTAGTTTCATAGTTTCAGGTTGTACGTTTAAGTCTGTATTTTAAGTTGATTTTTATAAGTGGTTAGAGATAGGGGTCTAGTTTCATTTTTCTGCATGTGAGTATTCAGTTTACTCAGTACCATTTATTGAAGAGATTGTTCTCTCCCCAATGTGTGTTCTTGATGCCTTTGTCAAAAATCGTGTATGGATTTATTTCTGGGTTCTTTATTCTGTTGAACTATCGAAAAAAGAAATAAGGTAATACATTTTCAATAGCTATTAAAAAAACACCTAGCAATAAATTTAACTGAGGAAGTAAAGATCTCTGCAATGTAAACTGTAAGATATTGATGAAAAAAATTGAAGAAGACATAAATGCAAAGAATATCCCTTGTTACGTATCAGAAGAATAAATATTGTTAAAATGTCTATGCTATCTAAAGTGATCTATAGATTCAATGCAATCCCTATCAAAATACCAGTGATATTTTTCACAGAAATAGAAAAAGAGTTCTAAAATTTCTGTGGCAACACAGAAGACCCAGAATAGCCAATGCAATCTTGAGCAAAAAGAGCAAATCTGGAGACATTACATTACCTGATTTCAAAATATACTACAAAGCAATAGTAACTATAACAGCATGGTACTGGCATAAAAACAAACACAGACAAATGGAACAGAGTCTATCATTTATTGAGGATTTACTTTGTGTCAGGCACTGTTCTAAGCACTTTATCGATACTGTATAATCATAATAACCTTATGAAGGTACTGTTACTATTTCTGTTTTATATATGAGGAAATTAAGACATAAATATTTAACAAACCAGCCCAAGGTCAACTATCTAGTAAGTAGTTGAACTGGAGTTGGAATGCACTTAAAAAAATTGTGGCGAAATATACACAATGTAAAATGATTTTAACCATTTTAAAGTGTATAGTTCTGTGGCATTAAGTATATTCACATTGTTGTGCAACCATTAACACCATCCATCTCTAAAACTTTTTAATCTTGGCAAACTTAAACTCTATACTGACTAAACACTAGTTCCCTATTTTCCCATCCCCAGCCCCTGGCAACCACCTTCTTGGTTTTTCTCTGCGAGTTTAACTCCCCTAGGAGCCTCATATAAGAGGAATCATACAATATTTATCTTTTTGTGGCTGGCTTATTTCACTTAGCATAATGTCTTCAAGGTTCATTCATGTTGTAGCATATATTGAAATTCCGTGTTTTATTTATTTTTATTATTATTATTTTCTTTTGAGATGGAGTTTCACTCTTGTTGCTTAGGCTGGAGTGCAATGGCGCCATCTCGGCTCACCGCAACCTCTGCCTCCCGCATTCAAGAGATTCTCCTGCCTCAGCCTCCCGAGTAGCTGGAATTATGGGCATGCACCACCACGCCCGGCTAATTTTGTATTTTTAGTAGAGATGGGGTTTCTCCATGTTGGTCAGGCTGGTCTTGAACTCCCGACTTCAGGTGATCCGCCCGCGTCGGCCTCCCAAAGTGCTGGGATTACAGGCATGAGCCACCGCGCCTGGCAAAATTCCCTATTTCTTAAGGCTAAATAATATTCCATTGTGTGTATGTACGTTTCATTTATCCATCTATCTGTTGGTAGATATGTGGGTTACTTCTACCTCTTGGCTACTATTAATGGAGCTGCTATGAACATGAGTGTACAACTATCTCTTCAAGACCCTGCTTTCACTTCTTTTGGGTATCTCCCCGGAAGTAGAACTGCTGGATCGTATGGTAATTTTATGTTTAATTTTTTGAGGAACTGCTATATTTTTTGCCATAGTGGCTGCATCATTTTACGTACCATCAGTGTACAAGGGTCCTAATTTCTCTACATCCTTGCTAACACTTGTTACTTTCTGTTTTTTTTCCTTCATCCCTCCCTCTCTCCCTCCTTCCCTCCTTCTCTCCTCTTCCTCTTTTTTTTTTTTTTTTTTGAAATGGAGTCTGACTCTGTCTCCCAGGTTGGAGTGCGGTGGGACGATCTTGGCTCACTGCAAACTCCACCTCCTGGGTTCAAGCGATTCTCCTGCCGCAGCCTCCCGAGTAGCTGGGATCACAGGTGTGTACCACCATGCCTTAATTTTTGTGTTTTTAATAGAGATGGGTTTCACCATATTGGCCAGGCTGGTCTCGAACTCCTGACCTCAAGTGATCTGCCTTCCTCAGCCTCCCAAAGTGCTGGGATTACAGGTGTGAGCCCACCTCGCCTGGCCTTTTTTTTTTTTTTTTTTTTTTTTTTTAAATAAAAGCCATGCCAATGGGTATGGAGTAGTATCTCACTCTGGTTTTAGTGTTTCACTAATGACTAGTGATGTTGAGCATGTTTTCATGTACTTATTGGCCATTTCTATATCCTCTTTGGAAAATGGCTAAGTCATTGGTTCATTTTAAAATTGGGTTGTTTGGTTTTTGTTGTTGTTGAGTTGTAGGAGTTTTAAAAGTATATTCTGGATGTCAGTCTCTTATCAGATATGTGATTTACAAATACTGTTTTCCATTCTGTGGGTTGACTTTCACTCTGTAGATAGTATCCTTTGACGCACAGAAGTTTTTAATTTTGGTAAAGTCCAGCATGTCTGTTTTTTTCTGTTGATACCTGTGCTTTTTGGTGTCACATCCAAGAAATTGTTGTCAAATGCAATCTCAAGAAACATATTTTCTTCTAAGCTTTATTTCTGTCTCTGTCTGTCTGTGCCTCTTTTCTCTGTGTCAGTTTGAGTCTGTCTCTGTCTGTTTCTATATGTTTGAATATTTGTATCTTTTTTCTACATATTTATAAACCACCAAAACATATATGTATCGTCTCTCTTTTCTTGCCTTATTTCTTCATTTTCCTTTTTTTTTGTAGAACTTTTTGAAAGTATTGCAGAAATCATGACACTGCATGTATTTCCCAAAAATAATAGCATCTTTCTAGACTATAATTACTACTGCCTTTAGAATCGGGCACACAGGGCCTCTGCCTTGTGCTGTCTACTTTGGAGTGCCTTTCTTGAATTTTGCTAAGTCTCCCCACTGCCTCAATGCCTGAAAGGCACGGTGCCCCAAGCTCTTCTCTTTAGGAGTCTCATATTTAGAATTACAGTAAATTTCCTAATTATATTGAAAATTGAAGCCTAACTTTTTTTTTTTTTTTTTGCTGATCTTATTGTTCACTACTGTGTACCATATTTTTCCTCTAAATTATTTTTCTTATCTTTATGTATTTCTTTAACTGATTAGTGTGTACATATTTAGTATTATAGTCATTAATTACCTTTATTCTTCTGTCTCTCTAGTACTGAGTTGAAACTCTTGGAGGAAGCAACCATTTCAGTCTGCAGGTCGTTAGGTAAGTGGGGAAAATGTGTGTGTATGTGTGTGGGGCATTGTTTTCAAATTTGGTTTTAGATTTTGATAGTATATGAATTGAATTAATGAAGTAATTATTCTTCTTTGATAGTAGTAGTAGTATTTTTTTCTATTCGTGGCATTCACAGATGCTGCTAGAAGATACCCTTCAGTCAATAGCAATATGACACATGCTTGACTATATCTGCAGTAGTGGCAATGGACTCTGCTAAGCCTTAGACAGTCTTTCAGCTTGTTCTTTTTTTTTTTTGAGACGGAGTCTTGCTCTGTCGCCCGGGCTGGAGTGCAGTGGCCGGATCTCAGCTCACTGCAAGCTCCGACTCCCAGGTTTACGCC